AATGATACCACAAGTTTTGCATTTGTATGTTGTAGATTAATAACAAGTCTAGCATTGATATTCTGAATAGCCTACCTTAACTTATTACTACTTTATTTATTTGATCTTTCACAATACATCAATTAATAATATTAATAATAAATTGAACAATAGATTTAGAAAATATTCTATCATATACTATATAACCCTTTGCTTTTGGTATTATCAACTATACATTGTATCAAATCCAAATTCCCGATAACGTAAATCCCTCCAGTCTAATCCTATATCTTCAGGATCAAATTCATTGCCAATAAATATTCTTAAGAAAATCAATGTATTATTTTTGTAAAAAGCCTTTGCTAATGCTTTGCCTCCTTCAATACCAATATTAGTATCACGGAGAAGTAAATCAGTTAAAGTAGTATTTATATAAAGTGCTTCTGCAAACGCTTTTCCTCCTTCAATACCAATATTATTAGAGCTAATATCTAACTCAGTTAATGTAGTATTCTTGCAAAGAGATTCTGCTAATGCTTTTGCTCCTTTAGAATCAATCTTGTTACTGCTAAGGCTTAAATAAGTTAGTGTAGCATTCTTGCAGAGTGCATTTGCTATTGCTTTTGCTCCCTCAGTATCAACATCATTTATGTCAAGAATTATAGATGTAAGAGCATTATTTACATAAAGTGCATCAGCTAATGCTTTTACTCCTTCTGATCCAAGTTTGTTATTCCAAAGATCTAAAACAGTTAAGGTAGAGTCCTTACAAAGCATATTTGCTAACGCTTGTCCTCCTTCATGGCCAATGTTATTATGACTAAGATCTAATTTAACTAGAGTGTTTTTCTTACAAAAAGCCTCCGCTAATGTTTTTGCTACCTCAGAATCGATATTACTACGACTAAGAGACAAAGAGGTTAGAAAAGTATTCTTGCAAAAACTTTCAGTTAGCGCTTTTGCACCCTCAGAACTGATTTTATTGTCATTAAGGTTCAAAGAAGTTAGAGTAGTGTTCCTACAAAAAGCCCACGCTAATGCTTTTGCACCTTCAAAGAGAATATTATTACTCTCAAGATTTAAAGAAGTTAAAGCAGTATTTTTGCAAAGTGCATCTGCTAATGCTTTTCCTCCTTCACTTCCAATATTATTACTATCAATATTTAAAGAAGATAAAGTAATATTCTTACAAAGTGCTTCTGCTAATTCTTTTCCTCCTTCAATTCCAATATTGTTATGAACAATATCCAATGAACTTAGAGCAGAGTTCTTGCGAAGTGCGTCTGCAAATGCTTTTCCTCCTTCATTTCCAATATTATTATAGCTAAGATCCAAAGAAGTTAGAACAGTGTTCTTACAAAGTGCCCCTGCTAATATTTTTCCTCCTTCAATATTAATACTGCAACTTCTAAGATTTAAAATAGTAATAGTAGCGTTTATATGAAAAGCATTCAATAATGCTTTGCTTCCTTCAATACTAAACTTACAATAACTAAGATTTAAAGATGTCAAAGTAGTGGTGTCGCAAAGAACACCTGCTAATGCTTGCCCTTCTTCAGCATTAATACTAATTCTTCCAAATTCTAAAGAAACCAGAGATACGTTTCTACAAAGAGCTTCTGCTAATGTTTTTACATTCTCAGAACTCAGATAATTACGAATAATTAAGGACGTTAAAGTAGAGTTTTTGATAATAGCCTTTGCTAATGATTTAATTTCTTCATATTTAAAGAGATTGGAATAAAATTTGAGAGAAGGAACGGTCGTATTTACATAAAGACTTTTTGATATGATGTTATGAACAATTCCTTTAATACATAAATATTTGAGATTCTTACTTGTCCGTAAAAGCATTGCAGCTAAAGAACAATTAACAGTGCTTACGAGCTTATCATAGTAGTAATCATCAGGATGATGTACTTTTTTATAAGAATAATTTTTATTAAACCATTTTTCGATTCCAACTTCCAAAATATAACTACTAGATATAGTATAACTTGTGTACACAAATAATGGCTTGAGATAATTTGGAAAGATAATCTTGAAAGGGATTAATAGAGCTTGTTCTTCTTGATTTAATAATGAGAGACACGTTCTTATAAGTTTACCATTAGATGAATGGTCAATTGGTTTGCTCCATAATATTGGTACAATAATTCTACACCAATGACGGTTTACCAGAAGGCACGAAAATAAGCATTTATAATTGGTCTGGAAATTATTAAATATTTCGAAAAGGCACTCGTTTGGTAATGCTATCATTTTGAGATCTTCACTACGTATCAGTATCAAAAGTAAGAATTTGATGAAACGGCGTAGTAGGATCGACCTTTTTATGCAATGTTCACATGAATATACCCAATCAAATTTCAAGATCGGATGTAACGCTAAGGTCTACTAATTTCACCCCTAGTACATAATAAGGCAGCTGCGAGATGCAGTCACACTAGAAACCAGGAACGAACACAAATATAGTAGTTAACAAATAATCCAAGTAACGTACAAACGAGAACTAATCTAGCATCCCATTAATATATCGCGAAGCATTTGATAGACACTATAGGTAATCGACTCGCATTATTTAATCAAACAAAAGTTTACAAGGAATCATATGATAAATTGTCTTTGACGATCAGCGATTATCATTCCATCAACCCAACAAAAAATCCTACGAAAAAAAAACAAAAATTCCAAATATCAGGCAAATACGCAAATTAATTTGCATCGGGTTACCAATTTTTGCAACTGAAAGTCCTTTTTTATTATCGTTATTTATCGCAACTACGATATAATTCATGTTTGCATATCCGAATGTACGTTGTAGTGGTCCAATGTGCGTCGGAAAATCCGGAGGGTAGGTATATAATATCTTACTAATAACTATTCTATTATCTTACTATTCTAACTAGATCACTATACTATAGTCACTAAACCCTTAGTAATGGTAAGGCTACGATAGAGGCGTGAAGAAGACTTGGTCCGAATAATAAGGGTTATTTGGCTTATAGCGACAGTGTTGGGCTTCAGATAAGTATACTTTTTCCTTCGTTCAGGTCGGTTAGTCGAGTGCTTATTGACTTTGCTAATATCTATTCTTTTTCGTAGGGTTACTGCGGCTACGAATTCGGTTCTTGATGTCACGTGGTTACAGGGTTCGATCCAGTTACGGGGTATCGATTTTAACAATAATGAGGTAATCACAGAGTTAATCAGTTTCGTATTCAATATTTAAGAACTCGGCTTACTAATCAGTACTTTTTTCTCTTCTATTTTTCTCAATACAAAAATGAAGGGTATGATGGTCACGGGGACAAGACAAGTAACAAAATACGAACTCGGTTTGTGTTAAAAGGGAATTACGTAGCAAACAAACACTTATATTCAAGACTTAGAAGGGTTTTTGGAACTCTGAAATTTAATTTTTATTAAAGGTAATTTTCGCTACTTATATACATGAATTTTACAGACTAAAAATCGATACTTATTTCTTGCATTTTTACTTTCTGTTTTATTTTACTGATTTTGCCGATTTTACTGTTTTTTCCAATTTTGTTAATTCTTCCTTACTTTTTCGAAAATGATTAAAATTGGATACTGTATTATGACAGTTGGTAACATATTGTGGGAGGGAACTTCGACTGCTACAACATGCATATCAGTTGATCTATATGCATGATGAATTCATGTGTGAAAAATAATGCATGATGAATTAATCATGCGGACCAATCAAACTTAAGATTTTGACAGTAGATATCACTTATTGTTCCATATAAACCATCTACTTCGTGATTTCATCAATCCGTTCCTGGTACAGTATATTGTTAGAGGAGGAATTTATTCATCATATTAGAGATAGCATTTCTTTTATTATATAAAGTTTTTATTTGTTATATCAATTTCTTTTAACACCAATTCCATTTTGACAACAATAATCGATCTTGTATTACTGTTTTCAATTATTTATACTATTTTGGAAATTAAATGTAGCTTAGTGATATATGGGAATCAAGTAAATCACATACACATCAAAAAATTCATGTGTACATGATTACATCAAAGGCCTGTTATCAAATCTTTTGGTGTCTATGTTAAATTGTCAGATATTCACCAAAGTATCACATAAACATTTGAATTTGGGTGTGAACATTAAATCTTAGTGTCTATATTAATAAGAAATTAAACTGTATTTAAAGACTAAAAGTTCAATAAAGAAGAATTATCTCTTTTTTTCTTTTTGTTCTTCATCTAAGTAAATCAAAAGTAAATGTTTATCTGAAATCTTCTTTATAAATTATCTCTTGAATTTGACTTGCAACATTAATAAACCTTTCGAGACTTAATTCAATAGACTGAATTGACTTATAACATCGATTTGGCTTATTAAGACTCAAATTAATGTATAGTTAATAATCCTAATAAGAAAATATAAACAACTGATAGTGGAATTAAATATTGTCATTTACGGAACCTGTAGAAGTGGCAGTAAAGAGAATATCTCCATCGATAGTCACGTGACTCTAATATATTATCAAATCCTCATCATGGTCTTCAAGATCATCACTCTTTACAGCATCACCTATAGTTGCATTGCCTCTTGATCGATATCAAGCACTCACCCCCTAAACCATATTTAACAGAATGGTTTTCAACAAATATAAAGAACCTGTATTGTCTACTAACATAACTCCTATCTTCCTGTATACTGTTGGAGTTAAATTGGTCTTTTATCTATACTAGTTAACTTGCTCTTCCATTCAACAGTTACATTTGGTGCCGATTGTGTAGATACAACGAATAGTCATCCTTATAAAAGTCAATTTTATTTTTTTTATTAAATTGCATCCCCAATTAAAAAAGATAGTTAGAAAACCTATTCGATCACATAAAACTATAGCTTAAGCCCCTTAGCAACCTAATCCAGTTAACCCACCCCAGCAGTCTAGCCCAGTCTGCCTCTTAATTTGAATAACTCTATTAATAATCTAGCAGCTCAAATTGGTCTATTAATTCAACAAATACAGATGGCATCTGTTCTTCAGATTAATGTTCCAAATCGAGAATTAAATCTCATGGCTTATCCTGACTTTGCGGGTGGGGATCAAGTTACCATGATCTGGTTGGATGAAGTTGAGAAAGCATTTGCAGCTAACCTAATTAATGATGATTAAAAGATTGCTATTGTTGTCTCTTATCTCAAGGGCTCTGCTACCACTTGGTGGATTACTTGTTAATGACAACTGCAGCCTATCAATGTGTGGAATGATCCTGCATAGCAAAACCGCAGTTTCTGTCCTAATTTTATCACCCAGTTTCAGATGCTGACTCTTGAAGAAAAATGGTTTGCACAGCTTGCTACAAAAAAACAACAAATTAATAAGGATTTCGATACCTACTATACAGCCATTCAAGAGCTTTTGTGATAAGTTGAATCTGAAGGACAACAATATTCTGAGACCTCAAAACCCAGATTTTTCTTAATGGGTTGAGTCCTGAAATTGTTTTGGCCATCACTTCTTCTACTCCAAATACTCTTCAGGCCACCTATGAACGAGCAAAGGCTTATAAGAGTGCTTGTAAACAAAGCTTTCCACACTTTCCAGTTTCTATTAATGCTCTCTATTCTTCTCAAATTCCTTTAAATACAGCTCTCGGTTTTCCTACATCAATCACCACCTCTGAATCTGCCATTAAAAAATTAACAAAGGTGGTTAATAAGATGCTTATCCAATTACAGAATAGGTGAACATCTGGCCCAGGTGGTCATAGTAAGATTGTTTGTTTCAAATATGGAAAACCTGATCATATTAGTAGGAATTGCTGTACCTCCATCTCTATTAATTCCTCTTCACCAAATCCAAATTCAACAGGTCCACTGGTATACCCTCCACAGACCTAGGCTTCTTCTATTCCGCTTCAACCTTCCTTCAGTACTAGAAATAGGCCTATCAATAATATTTCCGAAAACTAGCAATCAGAAGCCTTACACTCTTCTCACCCTTGCTGCTAGTTTAAACCCTTCTAATAACCAATATGATCAGCATACCTATGTTAGTATTACTGTAGAAGATGTTCCTTTATTTGCTATCAAATCCCATAAAATCTGTCAGTCTAAACATAAGAGGCAAGAGGAGGTTGATTTAGAGTTAGTAGCGGAAGAACCCTTAGAACAATTGTTGGAAAGAGAAAAAGAGAAACAAGCCGAAAGAGTGTTACTCCCTCACTCAAAGTTACCACAATTAAACTTGGATGTCCACCTGTTATTTGAAAGAAAGTACCTGAAGATGAAATGCTGCAAATTGCCTCTTTAGTCCCTCTGTATTCTATTATAACTGATTTGCAGAACAAGCCAGCCAATATTACTATTGGCCAACTCCTTTGTGCTGTGCCATCTATGAGGACAGAATTAATCAAGAGTCTTCATAAAAAGAAAGCTTCTACAAAAAGAAAGGCCAAAGTTAATATTAATATTTGCCCCCAAAAAAAATCTATCATCTTATACTGTGATGCCCAGATTTTAGGAGAAACTATTCCTTTAATAGTTGACAGTGGTTCTTTAGACAGCGTTGTATCCTCTTATTTGTTATGAGATCTTGGAATAAAAGTAGAATGACTGTCCACTATTAATATGGTCAATGTACACAGAATAAGCAAAAGGGCACTAGGCGAAATTTCTAAATTTCTATTTAAAGTAGGAGGAATAGAAATTCCAATTGACATTGTTGTTACAAATGCTGGTTCTTAACAAGCAATCATGGTGAATGACTGGCTTTTGAAAGTACAAGCCAAGATTGATTGGACTACTTCTGAAATAACTCTTACCTGGCAAGGTAAAGAGGTTACTGTTCCTGTTGAATTTAAGAAACTTAACCCTAAACCTTTAGGTAAAAATCATTCTAAGAGAATTTGTAATGTAAAAGAATCAGAAGAGAAAACTAACACTGATGAATTTGATAAAAGTGATGACTTTGAAGAAGAAAAATTAGAAAATAAAATTTACAACTATTCTAGGATAAAAGATTCTGACAATCCAAACTCTTATCCTAAATCCAATTCTTCCTGTAATATAAATCCCTTTTACAATCTTGAACATTTAGTTTCATTAGTTCAGATTTCTCTTAATGTCTCCTCTACAGGCATGTCCTGTCTTGTATCTTCCAACCTTATCTGTTCGGAAGTAGATTGTAACTCCAGTTCCAATAGATCACCTGGGTTAAGCCACAATAAATGTTTTGACTCTGATGCAGATGAGGTTATTGACAAAGAAAGAAGGCAACAAAAAATTAAATATGAATGAAATAAACCTACTTCCATTACCTGCTTCTATGATATTGCTGGAAATGCATACTTACAGGAAACTAACTCTCAGTTTGACTTATAAAGCTATATTGCCGATCACTCAAACATTGAAGAACAAGAACCTATTAGTGACATGTTCGATTATTTTTATAAAAACAATATGATATGTATCAAACCAGGAATTTGACAATTGAGCAGCATATACAATTTCAGCAGTTCTTGGTGAAATGGCTAAATCTCTTTACCTGAAGAAATAAAGTGATAAAATGAACCAACCTTGTAAAGCATCAGATTGATACTAGAGACACCCTACCTATTAAGCAATTGCTATATCAACATTTACCTGTGGAAAAGAGAATTATTAAAGCTAAAATTGCCCAAATGATTTCTGAGGTCATAATTCATCCCTTCCAAAGTTCTTGGACCTCTCCTGTCATGCTAGTTCATAAAGAAGATGGAACAACCCGGTTTTGCATTGATTATCATAGGCTCAACACAATAACTAAGAAAGATAATTACCTCCTTCCACGTGTAGATGACTTACTCGATGTTTTTAGTAGTTCCTCCTGGTATAGTTCTTTGGACCTAGCTAGCAGATACTGGCAGGTTGAAGTTGAGGACCAGGACCATTCAAAAACTGCTTTCACTACTATTTTTGGGACTTTTGAATTTATCATTATTCCTTTTGGTTTAGTTAATGCATCAGCAACTTTTCAGTACTTAATAGATTACATATTTCAGAACCTAGTAGGTAAATGTGTAATTATATATTTAGATAATATCAATGTTTATTCCAAAAGTTTTGAGGAGCACCTATTACACTTAGAAGAGGTTTTTAATTGACTAAAGATGGCTGGTTTAAAGTTGAAGCCTACAAAATGTTACTTTGTAAAACATGAGTTAAGGTTTTTGGGTCATGTTATTAGTGAAACTGGCATAGTGACCGATTCAAAGAAAATAGAGGCTATAAAAAAATTTCTGATCCCTAGAAATATTTAGCAGCTTAGAGGATTTTTAGGGCTAGCATCCTAATATCAGAAATTCGTCCAGGGCTTTACCAATATTGCTTCATCATTAAATCATTTATTAAAAAAAAGGATTAAATATGAATAGGCTGATGAACAACAGAAGGCTTTTGAAGCCTTAAAGGAGAAACTTATCTCTGCACCTATACTTGCTTATCCCAACTTTTCAAAAACATTTATCCTCTTTACAAATGCTTTTGATATCGCATTGGATGCTATCTTAGTGCAAAATAATAATAACCACTGAGAACAAGTAATAGCATATGCCAGTAGGACCCTTACTCTTGCTGAAAAAAATTATTCAGTTACAGAAAAAGAATGTCTCACCGTCATATAGGCTGTAGGTTATTTTCATCCTTATCTGCATAAGAGTCAGTTCCTTCTCTATACAGACTATTCTGCTCTGAAGTCCCTATTTGCTATTAAATTCCTTCAGAATTGCCTCGCATGATGGGTTATGACCCTTATAGAATATTCTTTTACCACAGTATATAAACCTGGCAAACATCATTCTAATGTTGATAGTCTGTCTAGAATTTAAAAAGAAAAAAAAAAAAAAAAATTTTTTTTAGAAAAATTAATTGATAGTAAGATTATTATAGTGTGAGCCTAATTTTTTGGGATCACGGGTGCCCAAATCGGAGTGACCGATCCAAGGTCATGCGAAAAGTAACAGAAATGTTACTTATGGCACTTATGGCACTTATGGCACTTATGGTACTTCCAGCACTTATGTCACTTCTGCTACTTTGGCCATATATGCGTTAAATGACATATCGGCCTTTTATAACATTTAGAGAATATATGGAGTATCTGGCATTTATGGCATAAATTGATTACGAATGTAAATAAACCGTTTATTATAAATAAAGGGAATTTCTGCCCAGGAGAGAAAAATAACAATCTTTTCCCTAAAACAAGAAGTCCCTTATATAAATAAAACTTCCAATATAAATAAATATCCGATCTATAATAAGAGTATAAGTGCAATAATAAACTAATAAACCATCG